AAAGTGTATCACAGATATCAGAGCAAAATGTGCTGTTTCTGGCCACTACAGTACATTACATACACTATTTTTCTCATTCTTGTGATTTCTGTGTTCTGGATGAGAAGGATAGCCTCAGTATGCATTCTCACATGTAGAGAGCAAAGCCATCTGATATACTACATTACCCATATGCAGCCAAAGACTGCTGAGTGACAGCAGGACTTGGCCTTTGTTGCCCAGACATTATTATCCCACTGGCCCTGTGTGTCTTTTGAGCATGTCCTTATCCAATGAGCATGTGGTTCAGCTTCTGCTGTTGTTATTTGCCTTTTCAAAGAAATCAGACCTGCTGCCAACCCAGGAGATGAATTCTCCTCTTCGTGCCACTCTTGTACCTTTCTCTTTACGGAGTCTGTCTGCCTCCCTGAGTGAAGGTGTGTTGAAGCGGTGATTGGTATGTCGGTTGTAGCCCTCAAAGCTGCTGCTGAGGTCAAGGGTGGAGCCGAGCCCAGACTCCCTGTCCTCCTCCAGCGGGAGTTTGGGCTGTGAGGAGAGCTGAGTGATATGCATCCTCAACCCTAATAACGAAGAACAAGTACACACTCAGGTGGTGAAGATCAGCTTTGAAGCGTTTCAAACACATAAAAAACAGAATTATGGGAATTAAAACTAATAAGTTACCACTGTAGTCGAGCCCTGTGCTCCGTCCAGAGGACACTATAGTTATAGATCGAGATGACATGGTGCTTTGAATGCTGTGCACAGACATGGAGGTAATTAAAATCACAGGATGACACAATTGTAGAGGGAACAAATGTGAGAGTAGACGTGTTTATCAGCCACCTGCAGCAGTAAAAAGAAGGCAAAGGAGACCAACATGTCTGTATATGAGCCCATCTCTCACTGCGCTACTGAGATCAACAGACAGGCAATTAGACGGAAACAAAGGCAGCCCACATTGTTTGTAATTGGCAGCTGTCCTTGAGACCACAACAAATGCCTTGTCGGAATCAATAAGGAAACATCAGTATCCATGTAACTTGTCTTGTCCTCAGTTTCCTGCAGCTGCAAGTCAGCTCTTAACGGGACTCTCCGCTGTCTATAGAGCAGCAACTCCCTTCAAAGGTTTTCACACTCTCGGTTTTAAAGAGGCCGCTTTTCCCCTTTTCATGTTAGCCACTTTGCCATATATTGGAGACTCCAGCGGAGGAGGGAGTGCTAATGTGTCTCTTAAATGCAAAGAGGATGGAAGTGAATTCAGTAATTACAGCAGTCAAAATTACAGTAATTACAGCCACTGCATCGTTCTCGTTCTGTGCGGCATCCTCCTGCAGGTTGTGATGTACAGAGAGGCCCAGTTTGCATATGTACATCTATCTATATGTGGGAGTATCTAAGACAAGTTCCCTAGATTGCAGTTGAATAAACTTTGAATGCACTTGTGCACATTTTGTGTGTGTGTGTGTGTGTGTGTGTGTGTGTGTGTGTGTGTGTGTGTGTGTGTGTGTGTGTGTGTGTGTGTATACTGACTGTTATCCTCTAATCTGTCTGCCCCACGCTCATCTGTTTGCCGGTCTGCCACTCTCTCTGTTTCTGTCTCAGTTATCTATTTGCGAGTTTGCCTTCAAGTCACTGTGACTCACATGTATATTTCTAATGTTGTTTTGCTCCACCAAATATTTTACTAATTGAGTTTTACTTGAAGTAGAAAAAGAAAAGGATTAATGAAACATTTAGTACCTGTTTTCAACCTGTTCCCAACATTTTATAAAAGGATGTATGAGCTAGTGGGTCCCACAGCTTTAGATAAAAGGCCGGAATTCAATTTATAATAAATCATTCATTTGAAATAATAACAGAAAGCCTCAGTGTTGTTGTTGCAGTGTGGCTTTCAACACATGGTATTAGGAGGAAAATGTTCCTTGTCATAAATATTTGATATTGACATATGCAGTGAAGTGTCTTACCTTGTCTGAAACAGGCAGGTGTTGTGTGTGACCCCCTGGAAAGGAAAGTATTAAAGTGAAGTGTGAATCATCTTTAAATAAGCCACCATGTCTGTAGGTGTCAGGAGGAACATCTCATTCCTTGTCGATTAACCTGCTCCATCACCAGAGACCTCGTAGTTAATCAGTAACACAATGCCTTAACTCAATGATGCATAAGTATGGAGAGCACGTTGTGTATTAGGTGATGGATGATGTTTGCCCAACCAACTATTTTTCACCTGATTTGAGTCCAGATAAAGATTCCAAGATGAAGAGGGCTGTTTGATGTGATTAATGATCCTTGCTGTTTGAGGTTCTCCCAGTTTCACATGTAAGAGCAGGAGAAATCTGACATCTAGTGGTAACTGTTGGAAGAAATGTGTCAAGTCCTCTCATATTCTCACATAGCTGTTTTCGTCCCGGCGCTGGCAGCCTGGCAAAGATTAAAGTCAGGGTATTAGATGATCATTTCCTCCATGAGATAAGTCAGTGGAAGTATTTCAAACACGTACAATGTAATCTGCTTGACTTGTGCAGAATGTTCAGGTGCTTAGGTACCTTGCCAGAACTCAAGATCAAGCATGTTGTGATTGGAATTGAACTATCAGAGAGATTTTCTGAGATCCTCTTAACACACACGTACACACATTTACTCACACACCCCACTACCCACAAGCAATGTCTTTCCATGCTATGCGGGAGAAGTCTGTGATGGCCTGGGTAAAAGGGTAATTGTTAATAATTAGTCCAGCTACGGTTCTGTCATATCAGCAGTGCTCTCAACTAAATCTGCCAAACCTGCTGACCCCAGATTTGCGTCCGTGAACTCAGAGGAGCAGAACTTAATAACCCCCTAAACTGAGTTGTTACTTTCCAAACTGTTATGGGAGCTGTGAGCCAGAGGGAGGTAACAGCTCTGTTGTTGTTGTGCAGGCAGCAGGACTGCTGCCTTCAATGGTGGCGAAGGGAAAAGCAGTGGAACAGAGAAACAGAGACGTACATGCACATATGGACACACATGTAATCACTTATGCACACACATGGCTAAATCTCTGGCGTGGTCCCAGAGCTCTTTGATTTAAAAAAACACAACAACTCCTTCATGATGTTGTTAATCCGCTCTCCAGATGTGCAATTCAGAGGGAGGTCGATCCACTTTGGGATGAACCAAACAGAGGCCACCAGGTCGTCATCCTGCCACTCAGAACACCTGCCAATCAGTAAGCCGTGGGTGCGCTCTGTTAGCTCTCCTCTGCTCCTCAGTGGGCCATGTTATCCCGTTAATCTTGCAATGAGGCACACCATATGATGTTTTCAGCTCCCAGTCTGTTATTTGTGTGAAGGGAATCACGTCAGTTAATTATCTCTGGACGTACGGCAGGTGATGCATGGACCTCCATGTGTTTTTCATTTTTGCTTTTATCATTTTTATTATCATCAGTGTTGTTGTAATGTTGTAACTTTACTTTAGCAACAAGTCATGCTGTTCATAAAGAAATTCCAAAAGAAAACTCTTAACTAAAGCTGCATATTTTGCCCACAACACAAGCTCTCCAGGGATGGCGTAACAGCAGCTGTTGAGTACAACTGATCCATTAGTCAAATCACAGAAAAGTCACTGCCAACTGTTTTTAGGAATTAATCGTTTAAGTACTTTATAAAGAAGGTGCCAGAAATCCACTGGTTTCAGCTTTTCAAATGTGAATATTTACTGTTTATTTAGTCATCTATTATATTAAATTAAATATCTTTGTGGTTTTGGACTGTTGCCAGATAAAACAAACTTAGTGAAGGTGTTACTTTGGAAATTGTGATGAGGATTCTTTCCTATTTTCGAACATTTACCAAACAATTAATCAATTGTCAACTGTAGTCCTAATTTGGAAATTAACGTTGATAAGATTTGTGTTGATTTCATAATCTGTTGTATTTGACAGCCAACTTCTTAAAATTTTAAATATCTTCATACAATTGTGGACCACCAGTCCAAAACAAAAAATGTCCATCAATCTTGAAAATCAAAGTTTACAAAACTATAACTTTAATGTTCTACTCAACATCATGGTTTTGTCTCCTGAACTGCAGGTATGAGTAAGAGTATGTGGCCAAAATAATAAAGAAACCCCAGATGAGGCTAAGTGACTTGTACACTTGTACAAAAAATAGAGCCACAAGCATCCAGACACTTCTCATCCCTTATGTCCTCAGTTTGACACTCTGACCTCTGGGAGGTGCTATAAGCTGCCTTTTTATGTCATTTATTTCAACTGCAATTCTCTCTCCACTGTATTTTATTTTATGTTTTAATTTTTCATGTTTTGTTTTAAATATTTCATTTATATTTTCCATTAGTGTGCTATGTTTTATGTCCTACTTGTTTTATATGTTGCATGTTTGTGTTGCTTTCATGCTTTGGTGACCTAAAAGCACGTTTCCACACTAGGGCAATAAAACCATTAAGCTTTATTTCATTCTAGTCCACTTTAATCACCGAGGCTCTCAATGTAATGATAAAATAACCTCTTAACCTGTGGTTTAACTGGGATTTGTTTGTGGAATTTCCTGTCAGCCTTCTGCTGATATTGAAGTCTATGTCTCTTTGCTCCTCCAACCTCCACCACCGGCATCATGGTCTAGTCTGCTGTTCCAAAGAGGAAATATCTCTGCTGGTTTTACCCTTAACAAAGTTATGTAAGAGACTTATAGTCAAAGTCAAAGCCTGTATCAAAGAACCAGATTCAGTGGCATCTCGCCGTGACGTTGCAGATTCCAACCATTTGAATACAGCTCAGCTTTCCAAGCGTGTAGGAGAAAATATAGTGGCTGTCAAACTCAAGAAAAAACCTGATCTTCTGGGCTACTGTAGAAACATGGTGGTTCAGTTTTGCAAAATTTTGTGTTCGTCTCACAACTTTCACTCCTTTCTGTCATTACATGAAGATGTTCAATATTCAATGATGTGTTTTAAACCTACAGTATTTCACCAATTCATGAGATGTTTTATGTGATTGAGAGCATGGTAAAGACAGATTCACTCAACACCATCACTTTATTGTCAATACACATTCAGTGTGGTATGTATACGACACTCACAGTACAATGAAATAGCATCATCATGGGTGTCCTTTTGTTTACATGCGATTGTTTCAGTGTGCATTAACTTGTGTGTGTTCAATTTAACATTTTTATACAGTATCCTTCAACAAATCACAAATTGATTGTTTGCATGTTTTATAATTTAGTTCACTATTACCACTATCATATTTCTTATGTTTCCCTGTGTACATATGTACATTTTTATGCATGTTGTGTTTTTGATGATCTTGTAGCTTGATGGCAACGCTAATGTCCTGTTGGCCCTTCCTTTTATCATTTTAGTTCCTCTGTTGAGGACGTGGGTGTATCAGAGCCATCAGGACACTCCTGAAAAACAGAAAGACACATTGATGAATACGAGAAGAGATGAGAAGAGATGTAGAAATAAATGCACAAAAGTGTCATACTTGCCTCAAAATAACCATAAAAAAGCCACATTTAATACTTTTTTGTTTGTTTGTTTTCCAATGGATTGAAATACAGGAACACAGGTGCACAACTCACCTTCACTTTGTCCAGCTCTGGTCTACCTGGGAGGGATTTTTGTGAGGAAAAGGCCTGTAAGGTAAAACAGGGCAGTCACAATAGATCTGATGAGTATGAAAGTAAGTATGAGGCATGAATGTCAGGCTGCTGCTCACCTTCTTTGTCTGTTGCATCTCCTCTGTGGATTTGGACCTGTTCTTCATGTGCTTCTGAGGAGAAGTGGTGGTGGGACACTAGAGAGAGAGAGAGAGAGAGAGAGAGAGAGAGAGAGAGAGAGAGAGACAGAGACAGAGACAGAGACAGAGAGAGAGACAGAGAGAGAGAGAGAGAGAGAGAGAGAGAGAGAGGGACCATTATTAGACACAACCAGAAGGACTCTAATGATATTATATTATTGTATCAGGCTTTCACACACCTCATTTGCCTTCTGTTCCATGGTTGATTTATCTCAGGAGAAACTCTGTGCTGATGCAGGTTTAGGATTGCAGTTGTATAACTATGAAGACAGAAACAAGAGAAACATTACGGCCATGCAGTTGTATGCAACAAAATTCAAGACCACAGTTCTCAGAGAGGAAGTACAGATATAAATTCACTGACTACAGCAAATTTATCTTTGCAATTCAAATGTAACAAAAAGCGAAACTGGATTGATCTTGCTTTCCTGAGGGGCCAGATGAGCTCAAGTCTGCAGTTATGGCCTCTCTTCACTAGATGGCGACTCTGACTCAGAGACTCACCGTTGGCACTTCTTCACTGATCTGAATGAGTATTTTGCTGAGTGATTTTCCTCAAGGGGATTGACTCTGGGGTTTGGTTTAATTGTCACACTGAGATGTACACACTGCTGCTCCCATTATTGCTTCTTGTTTGTAAAGACAGGCGGAAAAACACCTGCTTCAAAAGTTACAAACAAAATCTGCCATTATCACAGCCAACTAAAGTATAGCCAAAAATGAACAACCACCTATATTGGCTAGATGGACTGAATTAGCATCATATATTGCAAATTAAAAGATATAAAAAGTGAAGAGTAAGCCTGGAGAATTTAAGAAGATGTGGGGTGGTGTTATAACCACAGGCATGTGGGCTGATCAGGCATATATGCGTTTATATTTTTGTACATTGTTGCATTATTCAGCCGTAGGCCTTATGTTACAAAATCCATGAAGAAGATGTTGGGAAAAAAACACAGATGTTTGACCTGACTGAAAGTTGATTCAACTCTTATCATTCAGCTGACAAATATTAACATTTTTGTAACTGAATGTTATAAAATAAAGGCCTATGAGTCCTAACAGCAGAGATGCTTCACAGTCTGCCAGCGTTAAGGTTTTAGACCCAGAAGGGTACATTTCCAGACTGAACTGTCATGCCTGGAAACTCAAGATAAACAAATTAAATAAAATTGAGTTTAACAAAATAGTAGAGATGCAGATTAAATGCTTTAAAGAAATGCCATAAGAGGAGGAGGAGGAGGAGGAGGAGGAGGAGGAGGAGGAGGAAGGAGAAGGAGAAGGAGAAGGAGAAGGAGAAGGAGAAGGAGAAGAAGAAGAAGAAGAAGAAGAAGAAGAAGAAGAAGAAGAAGAAGAAGAATCAATTGAATAGGGATAGAAACAGAGAGATATCAACACCCTCACACACAGTTGGAGCCATACCGGACAAAAAAAACTATTTCTGCACCACTGAAAGGTCACAATGTAGTCCAGCTAACAGTCACAGCCAGATCCACAGCTGGTGTCTGGAGTCCTGCTGGCCAGTGACAAAACACCTCTGGGGTCTGGTTCAATTTGCAGGAGACGTTTTTTTTTTATTCTCCAAATATCTGTGCCGCCTGACAGTGTCTGCTTCTGTCTGACATCTGACCAGACAGATCAGATCAAAATGCTTCCCAGCATCTCGGGGTGTTTTACTGGTTTTCCTGTTCTGCAAGGCACTTTAAAAGGTGGAGACACAGATGGGACTCAAATGGCTGGGTAGGATATTAGACAGTTTTGAAGATGTTGCTCATAATAAAGCAGTGATGTGTTAATTATTATGAAGAAGAAAAAAAGGACGAGTTTGAAAGATCATTCTTGACCTGTGACTGGGCTCTAGTTGTCCAGAGCTCCTTTGCTCCTGAAAGCTTTGGAGACACAAGTAGGTGGAACTTGTGCTCACCTCGCTTTATTTGATCAAGTCACCACAAGATTATTCGATTTTCTGAAATTTGTCAAAAATTGTAATATTACTTTTTTAAAAATGTGTTTTGGAAACTTGGCTTCATATGTTAAGTAAGCTATTTCTCTATAACATTATCTTTAGGTGAGAGTTTAACTAAAATCTCACCTAATGAATGTGTAGGTGATTTGATCAGATTTGATTGATAATAACTCATCAACTGTCATTTTGATTCAGATGTTGCTAATTTCTGATATCACATTTTTCTTCCAGAGCCCCACCCACTTTAAACCGGTAAAAAGAGCAAAGAGAAAAACAGAAATGTGGAAATCTTTCAGGTGAAATTACCAAAACTGTTCTAACTTTGGCCAAAATGTGTGTGTTCATGTCGGACACAATCATTCATAGTAAGACGCTGATTGAGTTTCAGTAATTTTGTGCATTATATTAATGATGAAGTCTCTCAAGTTAGGGCATGGTGAGACACAGAACCAAGATAAAATAAAACATAGAGAGAGATCACTTTCTGATCTGACTGAACTGACAGTGAATTGTCTTTGACCCAGTTAGACCCCGCTATACTCTACAGGACGCATTCAGCCCAGGGCTCATGAAGAATGAATGGGGGCCGATCGACAGCAGCTCACTCACCCACTGTGACGGCTGACGTCAGCAGTTATGGTAGCGCCACATTTGATGCTGCAGGGAACTCCATTAGAAAATCCCACTGGGGACTGGAATATATGTGATATTCAACAAGGCCTACCCTCTAGGCATCTGAATGATTTGCACCAGAAGGGCTGACCCAGTGGGGTGTGCCCAGTTTCTTTCATACATTGGGCCTATTATGCACATACATGCTGGTTCAGTTGGCACACCCAGGGGTATACAAGACTGTTGTACTGCATGCACTTATCCTAAAATGTGCATTACAGTCCTTTGAGAATAATCTAAGCCTTGATGGAGGGGCAGACATTCAGTGAGCCCTGAGTGCTCTCTCTGACCAGCTCACTGAGGGAAATGACCTAAATGAGAATGATTTGCCTGCTTGCCTCACCCTGTCCCTCTCCCTCTGCTTTCCTCTGTTATTGTCTGTCCAACTTTGGTTAAATGAAGATTCCCTTCTTTGGAGGCGAGGCAAATGGAGGTCTGCATAGGCTAGAGGGAAGCTGGTAGAAGCACATCTCCATTGGGGCCGAGGTAGAAAAGCCCTGTGGCTTCGAGAAGAACACTTCTCCATTGATTAATCCACATGAGCAAGCTAACAACAGCCAAGGTGACACATCCAAAAACACTACGCCTCTTTATGGCACTCACACACAAATGCACACAATGCTCATACATTATAATGTAGACATGGGCATATACACACACAAAAGCAATGCAGGGACTTAAAAGCTACTCAAAACTCTTTCTGCAAGGATGGGCAAATAGAATTTTTTTCCTTGCAGTCTTTTCCTCCTTCCATCATCACTTCGACTGATACACTGCAAGAGGAGGCTGAGGTAGAAAAGTTTAATAAGAGTACTTAGCCTTTACAGTCCATAATAAAATGCTGATGTAAGCATCTGCATTGCATAAGAAGAAAATCTTTTCACAAGATTCAAATCCATTATAAAGATCAAGATTGGCCCAGCTCAACTCTTTCAGTGTTGGGTCAACACTAATTAACTCCCCAACTGAGAAGCACAGCATGACGAGAACTTCTTAAGCTTCATTTCAGTGTGTGTGAGAAAGAGTTTCGCAAGAACAGAAAATATATCAAAGACAACAGTACAGTCTAGTTGCATCTATATCATCACTCCTGCTGTCTTCTTGAGCTTTGCCAAAAAAAAGGTCTGCCCATCTGCCAAATGACTACCTGCTGAAGACACAGACACTTATGATGTCTCTATCTCCAACATTGACAAAAATATCCTTAACACTGAGGAGATAGTTTCCATTCTTTTAGGTCAACTAATCCCCATAATTCCAGTCCAGGAGCTGAAATTGAAGCCAGGTCTGACATTGCTGCCTCGCCACATCGGTGCTGTTGAACATCCTAAATCACAGAAGATCACATATTCAGGTTGTGTATAATTATAGAGGCCGTTATAGCACATACACACAGAGGTGGTTAGAGCAGCAAGGGGAACATGTGGACAGTAACTGCACCAGCAGCCAGGTAGAGAGCACATTAAGACGGCTCACAGTGGCAAGGACATTATGTCCTGTAATTGATGATGATGGGCTGTCTGTTCTGCCACGCTCAGGTGTGACACACAATGAGACCCCGCAGCTGGATGCGTTTAGTCAGTGGACAACCGACACAGCTACCAGCTCGACCATGTGTACCCCACCTGACAACTGAATCCACGATCGTTTTCATTTTTGCCACACGAAGCACAGAGTCTGCCCTTCACCGGCTGAGCAGAATTTTCAATGCACAGTAATGTGCAAGCATTGATCTGATGGATGGGTTTTGTTTTACACCACTTATATATTCCTCTGCAGGACTCTCAAAGGCACAGTGAGTGCCATTCAGAGCTCCCATTAGCAGAGTATTGAGTTCAGAAAATAAACACTTACAGATATTCAAAACCGGTTTGTTGGTTTGTTATCTATCCCAATGTAGAATTGTGAAGGCAGTCAATAATAAAACCAGAGATAGTAGAAAGCATTGGCACTCAATCTGAATGTAAATATGAGCTTTTCTATGAATGAGGAGATGAAGAGGTTTATCTCAAGACAGCACAAGACATTTAATCAAGCACAGAAATGTACTGAGTGACAGACAGGAGGAGAGAATGAATGATGGGAGTTGGCAGGGAGAAAGGGCAGGTAAATACAACCACTGAGGCAAGGAGTACAGCAATCACCCCCCAAAAAAATTAGATTAGGGAAATGCCTGGGGGAAATTCAGACACTCACCTCCTTTTCTCCCTTCTTCCTTCTCTTTTCTTCTCTCAGTGCAGACGTGCAGTGGAGTAGATGGCACTCCTCATCTCACTGCTGCTATGGTGTCTGCGAGAGCACACCCCTCTCTGCCCATTCATAGCTCCGCCGACGCACAACTCATGCATGGACGCACGCACGCACGCACGCACGCACGCACGCACGCACGCACGCACGCACGCACAAAAAAAAAAAAAAACACACACACACGCACACACACACACACACACACACACACACACACACACACACACACTTACAATGCCAGGTGTGCAAATCGTAGTTCTGTATGTTAATGTCTCCAGCCTGGCAGTCGGAAGCTGTGGGTGTGACAAACAAGTATCATATACTGGACATTATTGCTTACTAACACAGCTCTGTGATGGTCACAGGCTAATTACGTCTACAAGTTCATGATGTAGGGCAAGGTGGGCGAAGGAAATGCTTCCCAAACCTCCTGCTGTCACGCTGAAATATGCACGCTGCTGACATCACCTATGTGGATGAATCCACCTATGACTCATCTAATTTGTTTTGTAACCCATACAATAGCCAAATACACCCCATAATAGTCCATCCCAGGCTCCTCAACTGGAAAACACCTTCCAGCAACAAGTCCGTAGACAGATGAAGCAAGTCATTGGCTACAAGCCGTTCATAAAGAGCCAATCACAGCCCTGCAATGATCCACCGTCACTGTGCAAAAATGACATCATTACATGATGGCATTTTAGAGGGAGTTTTTACCACCAAGATACACCAAAGACACAAGATAATGTAATCAAAGCTAGTTAAAATTGACACCTTCACAGACAGACACAGATCAGCCTTGTTTTACATCGCATGAGTCATACAGCCAGTCCACCGGGGAAGTGGGCTCTGGCTGCACTTCATATAAAACCAAATCACGTAGCATTTGTCAAGCCAGAAACTGACCTCAGTGATTCATAAAAAAAATATATATATATATAAATAAAAAAACAACATTCCTAAGTGAGGGCTAAAAGCTGAAACCTGACGCATTTCCCCAATAACAAATACAGACATAAATGATCACATTTCATCATAAGTGATTTTTATTCTTTGGACACACCCTGTGAGATATTTTTTTATGACGACATTGTCTGATTCATTACCTGTAATATCACATTACTAATTCATGATCTGGACCCTGAGATGTCACCTGTGGTGACAGGAAAACAGGACTTGACCAAGGCTCCTCAAAGTGCCATCACAGCAAACAAAATGCATTTGCAAGTACCAGAAACACACATTTGAAAGTAGCAAATAAGCACACAAAATTGAAATTAGTAATTTAAAATATTAAAATCTCAGTAATAATATGCAATAAACTTAATTCACACAAAGCAAAAACAATTGTGCAATACACTTCAACCCCCCCCCCCTCCCCTTCTGGACAGTCCTGTGAAGAAACATGTTTTTGCTTAGAGTTCAAAGACAAGCAATGTGAGATTTTGGGAAATAAAAGCAAACTGTACATCATTAAACATCAGGGAACACTAAAGCAAACACATTCGCTTCAGGTTGAGCTAAAACTTCTTTTCAAACATTTTCGGATACATTAAACAATTCATAGCAAACATTTTTCCCCATTAAGTAGTAGTGTTTTGAAATGACACTATAAATGCTTGCCATGGTCTTTCTTCTTTATATACTGCCTTTAGTGGCATTATTATGAGTAGCAGAGATGGTAACACACTGCAGTCTCAGAGCTTATTTGTAAACAATTATAAAAAATTTAAAAAAATTTAAAAAGTGCTTTACCATTTTTCACTAAGAAATTACTTTTTGTCTTTGTCCAGTAACATGATGTCGGGAGATGTTGTAGTTTTCATGTCTGTGTCCACCCCACACACACAGAAGTCTTTCAAACTGCTGTTTCCCTCAAGTCTTTGGGCTCACATTGAGCAGAGTCAGAGGTTTTCTCCACTGCTCCAGCTGAACTTGGAGTTAATGACGTCTTGTCTTCTTTGTCCTCTTTGGAGTCGGCAGTGGAGGAGCTGGTGGTGCTGGGCTTGTCTGGCTCCGTGTCCTGCCCCTGCTGAAGGAACAGAGGGATCTCCAGCTGCTCTTTGGTCAAAAGGCCTCGCTGGTCATCAACCCTGCAGCACTGAGCCCTCGTCAGCATGTCCAGAAACCCTGACACACACAGAACATCATGCTAATTCTGACATTTGTTGCAAATGAATAAAGAACACTGTGCTCTTTTTAATGTGCCCAAGGCATTAACATTTCATAGTTGGGAATATAGTTAGGCAAAACAGACTCATTTTAGTCTTGATTAAGTTTTAGAAACATATATAATTAAATAGTATAGTGTTCTTCAAACCCATCCTGGCTAGGATACTAGGGTTGGGCTATATGGCTCAAATGTGCTATCAGGGTATTTACAATTTTATATAGAAATACAAATTGAATTCAAATAAGAAAATTGATTTGAAGTTCATTATTGACCTTAAAACTAAAAATCTCAACCCCTAGGTCCATTTTGTACCTTTTCTGGAGTTTTTGATCATTTCACACAGTCTTCCTTAACAGATGAAGTTTGCCCATTTGTCATGGAATTATAATTTTAAAATGTTAAACTTGGATGAGTTTGAAACATGAAGAGAGATTGCTTTGTCAACAATTAAGGAACGTGAGGTCCACTTTTTTTGTGTTGGACCTTGTCTTGAGAATTTATTTTTTTGCTTCCAAGAATTAAATATTAAGCTCAAACTGAATCAATGTATTAGGTATGATCACTGTTATGTCCCCACATTGATGATATGATCTGTAAGTTCAATATTGCCATAGGTTTTCTGGGGAAATCTCTGATGTCTATCTTGTTACCATATGGCCCAACCCTACTAGATACTGCTCAGATGTCCTACCATCCATGTCGCGGTTCTTACTGGGCTTGGGCTGAGTCTTGGCTCTGTCCATCTGTAGCGATGATCTGGCTTCCAGACCCCCTGCACTCACGGCTCCTGCCTGTGTCCAAAATAGATTTCAGTGTTATCGACGTACGTTTCACAGGTTTTAAATCCCATAAACATTGTATACTACAAATTCTACAGATCACACAAGGGTTCAATTTTTCATCAAAGAGATAAGTGTTGATGCTTTCTGACAAGAATATTTCTATATTTCTTACTCTTTAGTGCACCAGATTTACTGTCAGCCTTTATTATAATTATAAAAAGGTTGTGTCCAAAACACCCCCCCTTTTATCATGTAACGTCTTCAAATTATAATATTATTTAGATAACAATACTCAAGACCCTCTTGCCTTTTTCCTTTTAACATTCTCTAGAATTTCAAGCAGGTAATTAAGTAAAAAAAATTTCAGATTTCATTATTTGAAATAAATAAGCCAATTATGTCACGACAAACAGTATGTATGATTCATCAGTATCATAGTAATCTCGGGATTGGAGCTTTCAGCGCTTATCAATTGTCTAGGGATTTCTAAATGCAAAGCAGTTGCAGCAAACATACGTTGTGTCCTGAGCAACGTAATATGGTAGTAGTAAACTGTTTAACAGCACACAACTTCTGCATGTCAAAGATGTTGGATTGGTTCAGCAATTCAGGTTTTTTTTTTTTTCAAACTTTCCACCTAGTTTTAACAACAGAAGCTGGGAGAAAGTCCTCAGTGAAGCTTTGAGTCTAGTATAGTACATAAGCAGAATCAAAAGTTTCTTCATGATGGCAACAAGATGTCTGTCAGTCTATTAACACTGTCTCACCTGTGTCGCTGCAGCTGAACCACTTCCTCTGTACATGTCTTTTCCTGCTCAAATCACAAAAAAAAAAAAGATACATATCAGTACTTTCACTTCCAGCACAAAAGTAGTCAGTGGGCTGATGATGACGCTACAGAACATTCCCACTGTGTCAAACATTGACATCAGCCAGATTAAATATTCTTGACAAGAATTAAACTGGCCCTACTGGGATACAGCCACTCTAAATCGAATCTATTCCCCGCTGCCTAAATGCAGTGAGAGGAGCTGAGGCTGAGAGCACTGATCCAAAGTGAAGTTGGTTCTGGTCTCTCAGCAGTTGGGAAATGAGGTGAGTGAACACAGCACTCAAACCAAATGGACTCAGACATTTCAACCCCACAGAAAAGAATGAAGAGACTGAGGGAGACACACAAAGAAATCTGACTAGTGAAATAGGAACATGCAGACAGAGACGCAGAGAAACCAGGGCGCTAAAGTGGACACTGAAAAGACTTTGTCTTTGCCTCGAGCTAAGAGCAAGTAAAGGCCAAGAAATGCAGAAACACTTTCTAGGACCCTTTAAAAAACAATTAAATGAATTCGAAGACTCAGCCAGCTTTCTGGCAGCAGAAGAGATTTTACAAAGCATTACCAATCGATCACCCACATCACTGACAACTAGCAGCGGATGGAGGGTTGGAATGTGCCTTTATCTAATTTGACTGAATGCATTTCATTTACTCATCGGCAAAATAGTTTTTTTTCATCCTGTGGCTGCTTGTGCTTTTCAGGGAGCAATGTATTTATTATTAAATGATGTAAACATGAGTCTCTCTGGATTGCATTAAAGTAAATAATTGGGTTTTAAAAAGGTCAAGTATATTAACCTTTGGTTCTGTCAAGCCGTAGCGTCTTATTGGCCAGTCTGAACACAGTGCCGTTCATGTTGACGGGCTCGTCGCTTCCAACCTAAAACGAACAGTTTTAGTAAGACAAAAGAATGGACTCCAGTCAGACAGATGTTGACACACTCAGCCGAACAGACATGAATGCATGTAATCCTCATTGCTTATTCCACTGACGAAATAGTTTAAAACATTCAATTTTGAGTGATCATATTAAAATTACAGATTTGATATAAATATTAACATGCACCCTGACGCGTAAACTGTTGCCTAGCAACGGCTGCTGCAGGCAGGAGAGGACTCAGAGGACAGACTGACAGAATTTTTAGTACAACATTTAGAAAATGTCAGACTTGTCTGCTGCTTGACTGAAAAGTGGAGGTGAGTCATTAACGTGAACTTACGTCACAGAAGTATAAGATTATTACAATGAGATATTAGTTATATCCAGGTTCAGCTTCACAGACACTCTACTGTCACTTCCATACATGACGGTCCA